TTCATTACTATAGTAAACTAATATGTAGATATGCTGTTTTCTTTTTTCAAAAATACATTAATCAAATGTAGGAATCCATTACTTTTTCCTTTCTTATACTCTAATATTTATTTTACTTAAAAGTGGCGTGATAATTCAAATACAGTTAAACAGAAGAAAGCTTTTAGTGTCTGCATCTTTTTTTCTTATTTTTTTTCTTGATTTTAGAGAGAGAGGAAGGGAGAGAAACATCGATTGGTTGCCTCGTACTTGCCCTGACTGGGGATCGAACCCACAACCTAGGTTGAACCACCCAGCCAGAGCAGTGTCTGCATCTTTTTTCTGGTCATTATTATTACTCATTTCACAATAGTAAAATTACTTTTGTCATATAGAAGAGGGCATGTTAAAAAGTGATCCTCTGTCGTGTGAGATACACTAAATATACATCTGGCTACAAAAATACCAGGTAACGATGCTGATGTAAACTCTGCACTAGCTGCAAATCTAGGGCACTACAGAGAGTCTCTTTCACGTCATTCTGGACAGGCCTGTTTGAGGAGGGCTGTTTGTGCAGTATTTCTGCCTGCTAGAGCATTTTCAGAGCAGACAGAACTGTGGTGTTTGGTTGTCTTTAAAAATGCATGGTACTAGATGTGAAATGATTTTAGAAGGTGCATTTTCCAAACCCATGAAAATTATTTAAAAAATATTTCAGGTAACATTTTGCCAGTGTTTAAGAATAGATGGTTTGTGTGTTTTTTTTGTTTTTTTAAAGAAAAAAAATTACTCTTGAAAATCTAGTAATTTTATGGCAGCTTTAAGTAGTTGATTACAAGCAATGTAGAAGTAATACTCACTTTGTGAATCCAAGATTCATTACATCATCATCTGTTTGGTCTGCATGGAGAAAAAATTTGTGACTTATCAGTCACACACCTCTTAAGCCCTTTAGTTAAGGAACTCCTAACTCTGGTCTAGGAATCCATTCAGCTGTTCTGTACTTTTTAAGTTAATCCTTCTATTTTGAAAATGAAATCATGAAGCTAATAAAAAAAACTCATCTAGTGAATTGCTAATAGAACCTTCAACTACAGAAAAATTTAAACTGCTTGACTTACGTATTTAGGTTCTCAGATATTTACACCTTTATTTCCTTTTAGACTGTAATTTTCTTTATTGAGCTGTTTAAAATACTTTTGCTGTTGTAAAAGACAATATATTCAGTCTGGATGTAAATATGGGTTACTTGAGGGTCTTTTCAAAAATCCTCTTTGAGAGCCCATCATTTTCTTTGAAGTAAAATACCTGTTGTAGAGCAAGGCCTTTATGTTACCTATCAAGACTGCCCAGGGACATGGAGAATTACTGATACTAATCATAGACCCAACAGCCTTTAACCTGTCAAAGATTACCCAAAGGGAGAGGTGGCTGGTAATTACTGCCTCTCCTTTGAGACACTGTCAGGTGGTTTAGGGTTTACTTTGGCCTGGGTTATATAATTGCTATTGCAGGAGTTAGGAGATAGAAATAGGTGTCTTTTCAGGAGAATATTTGCACAGAAAAGAAAAATCATGCTGGAAGATGTGTTTTATTGTTATTACTATGTGTAGCATTAGTGAAGAAATTGATTAATTTCTATTTTCTAGATTAGTGATTCTCAACATTTTTTGGACTCAACTGATTTTGTTTATGTGGGTACATATTAAAACTGAGAATTAAATATTTATTCATTTCAAATCATAGTAATATACCCATCACATGTTACTCTATGAGTTATTTTATATAAATAAATACATTTACAAAATAAAAAATTTAATGAGGATAATGACATTGTTTAACATGTTTGCAAATCTCTTTAATGTCTTGCTTAATAGAAGACATCTGGATTCTCATCTGCTTCTGCATTCAATTTGCATTATGGTTTCATTTGAAACACATGAAGAAAATCTAACTTGACACAGATATGTAGTTGGAGAGGAAAGGAGTCACCTTTTCCAAACTGTTTGACTTTTTAAAAAAATTTATCTTTATTGTTGAAAGTATTACAGATGTCCCCTTCCCCTCCCCCCCCATGGATCCCTCCACCTCACTCCTGTCCCCTCCCTAGGCCTTCACCACACTATTGTCTGTCCATGGGTTATGCATATAGGTTACCTAATTAGTCTCCTCCCCTCCACACACCTTCCCTCTGAGATTCGTCAGTCTGCTCCATGCTTCCATGTCTCTTTATCTATTTTGTTCATCAGTTTATTTTGCTCATTAAATTCCACATATGGGTAAGATCATGTGGTACTTGTCTTTCTCTGACTGGCTTATTTCACTTCGCATAATACTCTCCAGGTGTCTCCATGCTGTCTCAATGGGTAACCATCCATTCTTAATTGCACATATATCCACTCCCAGCACACCCAATCTCCTTTATCCTGTTANCCCCCTTGCCTTCTGCACACTTTTGTCTGTTTCCATGGGTTATGCATATATGCATATAAATTCTTTCATTAATTTCTCCTCTTCCCCCACTTCCCCACCCCCACCCTTCCCTCTGAGATTTGTTAGTCTGTTCCATGCTTCTATGACTCTGGATCTATTTTGTTTATCAGGTTATTTTGTTCATTAGATTCCACATATGAGTGAGATCATGTGATACTCGTCTTTCTCTGACTGGCTTATTTTGCTTAGCATAATACTCTCTAGGTCCATCAAACTGCTTGACTTTTTTGTGGCTATTCTTTGGTACTGCACTAGAACTTAAGTGTTTTTTTTTTAAAGACTAATTGCAATGTGGAATCTGAAGCCATTTCAATGAACTCTTTTTAATCTGTTACATTAAATTCGATTTGTGTATCTTGCACCCGTAATGGATCTTTTTTCCATGTGTGATATTGTAATATAATGCATTGGTTATTTGAAAAATGTTGATGTCTTGAGAGTTCCAAATGTTGAAACATTTCATTTTATAAAATCATATTCAGAAGATTCTCTGATATGTCAATTTGGCTTTATCTCAGCATTTTTAGATGTAGACAGTATGGCTGTAGGTTGAAAATGTTAGTCTTATAATCCCATTTTAAGACAACAGTTCATCCTTAAATTAGGAAAAAGTATATTTAAAAATTTCTTTTAGAATGAGATAAAATGTATTAAACTTTAAAATGAATTTTAATTAATATTGAAATTTGTTTTTATTTGAAAATTTAAAAATATTATTGTGAAACAAGTTAAAAGATACCTCGACTTTTTGTGTTTCTGCGTAGGTTGCAAGGAAAACTTTGAGATTCTAAATAAGAATTTATTGAACAATAATGAAGTTACAGAGATTATAGCAGGAATAAACAGAGACAGCTAGTAAGAACACAGTAGAAGTACTGAGTTAAATTCTGAGAACACACCTCTTCATATGCTAAACCTCTTCTGTGGAACTAGAACACACCAGAATATACCAGAAGCACACATTCTATTAGCTGTCAGAACGATGATGTCATCACACATCATGTAGCTTCTGGGAGATTCCACTGTACACTCAAAAGAGGGAAAGTGAAAAAGGCAAATGTTTTAGCTTTACTATGAAAATAGTTTTGAACTCAAGGACCCCCTTGAGAGGTTCCTAGAGATCCTCTGTGTTCCCCTGGCTACACTTAAAGAATCGCTGTTCTAGATGTTTGAGTCCACCTTCAAGGTGTTTTAAAAGTTACCTCTGAAAATCACTGTACACTTTTTACATTTTGCAACCCTAAAGCAGGTGTGGTAATTCCATGTCAACATCCTCCTCATCTAGGCCTTATTCTGTGTCTTCTCATAAAATGAACTTTGATATGTTTGGTCATGTCATATTAATAAGGACAAAGGTAGGAAAATGGAAGAATGGTGGGTACTTTTATTAAATGTAACAAATTAATTAATTATTTTTTAAAAAAAATATATCTTTATTGATTTTAGAGTGAGGAAGGGAGAGTGAGAGAGAGATAGAAACATCAATGATGAGAGAGTCGTCATTGATCAGCTGCCTCCTGCACGCTCCCAACTGGGGATAGAGCCTGAAACTCGGGCATGTGCCCTGACTGGGAATCGAACCCCGATCTCCTGGATCCTAGGTTGATGCTCAACCGCTGAGCCACGCCCGGCTGGGCTGATTAATTCTTTTATTTAATTTTTTTAATTAGAGGAGAAATGCATAATCTTGGTTCAAGCTAGCCTTTATTGGTGTGGAACCGTGTTCCTCATTCCTTGGTCCAGTTTATGGCTGGAAAGAATGAAGACTTGGATAAGAACATCAATGAGCTCTACCCTGGCTGCTCATGCTTAACTGTGGGAAAACCAGGCTAGACTTTCACAGGGACAAAGGTCTCAGCTTCCTCTCATGAAACAATGATGATACTGGAATGTATGCTCCTTTCCTATCCTATCTTCTAATTGGAACAATGCTTACATCTCCAGTCCCATACCAGAGCTCTCTCACACATTGAGTTTAATGTGATAATTAGCTAGAATTAAATTGCCTATTAAACAAAGTGATTTTACAGTAATATGCTGTTAAATTATGAAACACCTTGTGCTATATTTCTTTCATTCTAAAGTGCACATTTTGGCATATTTTAACAACCCTGAAATGAGAATGTGTTTTTCAGTCAACAATGCGTTCATTTAACTGGTGGCAATTCCCACCCCCACCCCCCAATTTTCTGAAATGAGTATCAGTTTTTGTTTTAATTTTGAAATGTTATCTTCAAATACATTTCTTTTGTCATAATTACAAATGCCTATTTCATGAGGAAGACTATAATATATTTCCATTTTTAATACCTTCTATATTTTTTTAAAAGAGAAAACAAAATTTGGCAACAATTTATATATATTTTCTGAAATGTGAATTTCCACACTAAGTGCTTCATAGCAAATACGAAATTAACATTAAATTGTGCTCATGTAAATTGTTCTAAAGTTTGCTTTCCTTTCTTTTTAAAATCTCTTTTGCTTATGCTTTTAATCTGATTTTTTGTATTTAATTCTGTTCATAATAGGTTTATTTTAGGACAGTGGAACTGATACAAGAGCCCATAGAAAAGTCTCCTGGTCTGAGTTTCTACTTCAAAATTAATGGATTTCCCATATTTCTGAAAGGGTCTAACTGGATCCCAGCAGATGCGTTCCAGGAGCGAGTAACCTCTGACTTGTAAGTTACCATCTTTCTTTTCTTATTTCTCTTTTATTAACAGAGCCACAAAGCTTAAGAGTTACTCATTCTTACTTTCTTTATTTCCAGTGGAAGGAACTGAGGGGCAATATAGAATTCTAGAATTTTTTTTAAAAAAAGAGATGATTAAATTTGGGTTTTTCTCTCCAGTTTTTTGAAAGGCACCTTAGATATTTTTGTTCATGCTTTTAAAAAATGAAAAAAACTATATTTGCCTCTTCATGCTAAGATATTTACATATTCCTTTACTTTTATCTTAAAAGGAACTAAAAAAATCTTTAAAATTCTAGATCTAGGAAAAAATTTAAAATATTTTTCTGAAACTTTGAGAATAGAACAATATAAGAAAGAAATATTTTTTGATTGGGTTTGTAAACTACTGTCTTTGTGATCGTGAGGATAAACCTTGTGAAGTGAAAATAAACCCCATTAACTTATTTACAAATGTATAAATATGCATTGTGGTATATTATTTGGTGTTTAGAAAGTAGATGTGGTTGGTAACTAAACTCTAATTTTGCCCAAACTTGCAGTAATTTCCTTTTACTTTAAAATGTGTATATTGTTTTGAATTTCATATTAAAATGAAATTAGTCTTCAGACATAGGCAGAGATAATTAGCTGTCTCTCTTCCTTTTAATGCTCCTCTCCTGGCTGGTTTTGCTGGCAGCTGTTCAGCCCTGCTGACCAATTAGTAAACCTGCCCACGGGCTCTTTTGCCGAGACCACGATGCTCTGGGTCCCTGGCCAGCCTGTTATTGGTCTTTTTCGTTCCTTTCTGGGCACTGCTCTGGAGATGGAGGGTACATGGTCTCAAAGGGACTGTAAATTTCTAGACTTTCCTGAGGATAATGTGAATAGGAATTGGAAAAACAGAAATTTCCTAGAGAAAGAACTACTGGACTGGAGGAATTGTAAAAAAAGGAGATAAGAGTAAGCTAGCTTGGTCCTAATATTCAAACTTTGATTTTTGTCTTATAGTTTGAAATGGTTACATAACATTAGCACATACTTTCCAAGGTTTACAACCGTATTTTTCTACAGGAATAACTTTAAGACAAAAATTCATTTTTAGAAATAGTACAATAACACTGAGAAATTGAGAAAGCAGAAATAGTATCACCAGTAATTTTTCTAGGTTTGTTTATTTTATGTGGTGTTAGTTAATGTGTATATAATTTTGTCTTACTTCATTTAGCATTATATCCAAACCATCATAATTTTGAAATGCGTTTTTCTGACAGAGATTTTTAGATGTGTTTATCAACCACAATGTGTTTTTTAAATCTTTTTTTTAACATCCTCAAATTTTGAAATTAGTGTTTGTTTTTCAAACTTCTCTATAGGTTATCACTCCTTTTGCAATCTGCTGTGGACGCTAACATGAATGCTCTTCGGGTGTGGGGAGGAGGTATTTATGAGCGTGATAAATTCTATGAACTCTGCGACGAGCTAGGAATAATGGTGAGTGGTCGGCGGCATTTTATTTCTTGATATGTTACTTTTTCCATGTTCTGAGAGGGTGGTATTGCGAATTCCTTCTTTGTTCAGAGTCAGGAATGATGTTCCATTTTTTGCAAAAGACTAAATGGCATCTTAAGAGCCCAGAGCCATAGTTGATAGCGCGTATCATAATTATTTATTTTTAAGTAATTGACATTCTCTATAGTAGTTATATCTAAGTATATATCTACATTTTCTTTGTGATTTGAGAGTATGCATAAGAAAGAAAATAAGATATTTAAAAACTTTAAGGAGTACTAATAAGCCCTGGGAGAGAAGAAAAATAATAAAATTAAAGTAAAGGTGTGCTTAATATTGTTATTAAGCACTCCCAAATGTTTTGTGTTAGTGAGGGTTACACAAAGGAAATATATTTTTAGTTCGAGTATTACAGTTCTAAAATATAAAGCTCTCCATAGAAGAGTAGTAATTATAATAATATTGATAATGCTGATGGTCATGATGATGTAATATTTGAGTGTGAGGCCTTGTTCTCAGTGCTCTGCTCTATATTTTATTTCAACTTCATGTCCATTCTAGGGGGTGGTTATTGTTCTATATCCCCATTTTATATATTAGGAAACCGACATGTGCAGAGGTTGAATAACTCGCCCACACTCACTCAGTGGTGGAATCAAGGTTCTGACTCAGGCCCACTGGATTGGGGCTGTGCTCTTAACCACTGTATCATGACAGCCTCCTTAGGAATGAGCTTATGTGGCATCAGTACTAAAATATCCATGTAGTCATTTTTTTGGCCATGATAAACAACGTATGTTTCTAACAGCCTGGTCCATCTCGCAATACCAAATTCCCAGTGACAATTAGAGTGAATTAGGAGTGAGGAGGGGCTGGAGAGGGGAAGCTTCATTTCGAATTTTATATCCCCCTCAACACACCCACTATTTCCTCTCTTTCTTTCCTACTTCACATTTTCACTTCTCAGGTTTCCCTATAGTTTATGTGCAGTTCCGGGGAGGCATGGGGTCCCTGCGTGCCTGTCCCAGGACCTCGCACATAGTGGTGCTCAAATGACCACACTCATCGGGCAAACTTGATTTTTCATCTGCGTAAAGGGGAATCCGCACAGTTGAGAGCGAAGAATTTCTTTCTTTGTGATAAAATTTGTGACTGGGCATCGTTGCCTTTTATTTGATTTGTTAGATATGGCAGGATTTCATGTTTGCCTGTGCCCTTTATCCAACTGATCGGGACTTCGTGGATTCCGTGAAAACAGAAGTTGCTTACCAGGTACGTTATCACCTTTCCAAGAAGAAGGAAAAGGCTTATGTTTTAGTTTTGCCTTTTGTTAAACTTCTCCACATTTCTTTTTGTTGTTCTCTTTACTAAATCTCATGAAAAATCACAGTCAGGTAATTGTCTTTTTAGATGATTCCACCCATTCTCATGGCTTTATCACTTTATGACTCTCAGATTTATCCCTGGCCCTGGCTTCTCTGCTGAATTCCTGGTTCTTACTCCCAGCTACCTGCTCGGTGTCTCTAATTGGAGGCTTAATAGGTATCCCAAATGTAACATGTCCAAACCAAACTTATATTACCTTCCCTGAACTTGCTTTTCCTGCAGTTTTCAATATTGGCAATGCCAGTCTGAATTTCTCAGGTCAAATATTTAAAGTGATTCTTAACTCCTTGATTTCTTTTGCATTCCACATATACACACTTGTGTTTATATTTGCAGATCTGTAAATGCAAGGAAGTGGTTATATCCGAGCTCCACCCATTGAAAAGGCCCAGAAACAATGAACAACCTAGTAATATTGAGCATCCTTATATTAAAATAATATTCCCATTAAAAGAAGGGCTTCTTAGAAAAGTGGCTGATTTCAGGTCTGGGACAGGAAATATACTAGATTATTATGGAATATTTTGACACACAGATAACAAGGAAGCTATCAAAGATATGCCAAAAGAACTTTGATGAGACTCTGACCAAACCAGAGTGGGACAATTTGAAGTTCAATAAGGATAAGAATGTCAGTGGATTGAAACCCATCAAGTGTGTTAAAATACCTCTAGTGGTGGTGTATTTGCATGGAAAACCTAGAGAAATGCAAGGAAGTGGTTACTGTAACACTCAAGATAGCAGTTATTTTGAAAGGAGGAAGGGACTGTGATTGGGAAGGGGCCTGTGAGGGCTTCTTGGGTGGTTGGTAAAATTTTTTTTCTTGGTGTGTGGGTGGTAGTTACAGACTGGGTTGACTTATAGTAATTTACTATGCCATAATTTCTTTTTCTTTATTTGTGTTTCATTTTTTTAAAAAGGTTTAAAAAATACAAATTGAATTATCCCTTGCTCAAAGCCCTCCGGATAAAGTGAAAGATCTGCAGCAGGCACTATCCTGTCTCTGCCTGCCTTTCCGCCGCATCAAGTACCATCTCCCCCTTGCTGTATGCCCCGGAGCACCATCCCATCACCTTCCCTTGTGGACCACTTCACTCATTCACTTCTGGCCCCTCTTACCTTGCAAATGGCTTCCTCTGAGAAAAGCCTTCCTAAATCTGCAAATCTAGATGAGGTTATTTGCCCTTTGTGACACACATCACACTTTGAATTCCTTGTTCAGGTTTTGTCTCCTCTGTAAAGTTGCAATCTCCCTGAGGCCAGAACTTGTTCCCCTTTTTTCCACTCCCTGGCTGGATTATTCACAAGGTAGATAGATGGATGAATAAATGAATAACTTTAAAAGTTTTAATTATAGTTATGTAGGTTGTAAATATTTCAGGTTTTTTTTTAATCCTTACCGGAGGATATGTTTTTCATTGATTTTTTTTAGAGAGAGAGGAAGTGGGGAATAGAGAGAGAAGCATCAATGTAAGAGAGAAACATTGATTGGTTGCCTCCCATATGCACCTCCACTCGGGCTTAAACCCTCAACTTAGGTATGTGCCCTGACCAGGAATCAAACCTGCAACCTTTTGGTGTACCGGATGACACTCCAACCAACTGAGCCCCCTGGCCAGGACACAAACATTTCAGTTTTATCTTTACTTTTATTTCATATAGATAACTAAAATATGATATCTGTGTGCCTTCAATTCTTTTATGTATTATTAAAGAGGAGAACTTTCTATGCAGTTTGTGAACATTTTAAAGTGAAGCTTACCATGAAATTCTAGGCCAGTTTGAAGGGTGTCACAGAGTCACTGAAGCTTTTTGGGCCTTCGGTGTTTGTATTTGTACTTTTATCAGTACCACAAACATGCCAGTCACTACTGGTAGCAGCCCTCACTTACCTGGGCATATGTAGAAGCAAATAAAGGAAATGCTGTTTAGAAGGCTGGTTTAGAAAACAACAGGATGTTAATTTTTTATTTATTTTTTAACTATATCTTTATTGATTTCAGAGAGAGGAAGGGAGAGGCAGAGAGAGAGATAGAAACACCAATGATGGGAGAGTCATTAATAGGCTGCCTCCTTCATGGCCCTCACCGGGGATCGATCCTGCAACCCGGGCATGTGCCCTGACCAGGGATCGAACCTTGATCTCCTGTATCCTAGGTTGATGCTTAACTGCTGAGCCATGCCAGCCGGGCAGGATGTTAATTTTTTAAAAAAGAGGTGTAGCTCTTTAATACACCCTTAATGCATCTCTATATCATGTATGAATTACTTAGCATCTTGAATGGAGACCACAGTGGAAACATCAACTGGGATCCATCACTGTAATCATCCATTACAGTGAAAGAGAAGTGGTAAATACGAATGAGGTTATATTGCTAAAACATGTTGCACAAGAATTTCTCTCAAAATTCTTTCTCTTGCCCGGCGGAGCGTGACTCAGCGGTTGAGCTTCGACCTAGGATCCAGGCGATCAGGGTTTGATTCCTGGTCAGGGCACATGCCCGGGTTGCGGGCTTGATCAATGACTTTCTCGTCATTGATGTTTCTATCTCTCTCTCCCTCTCCTTTCCTCTCTCTGAAATTGATAAAGATATATTAAAAAAAAAAAGAAATTCTTTCTCTTTCTCCCTCTGTTGTCCTCAAAGGTTAACTTGCCATCTTCTATTGGGGTATATCTCCCAGTGTGTCAGAAGAACTAGATCTTTGCACTTTACATAGAGTTGGCCCACAGTGAGCCCAGGTCATGCAAACCTCAATTCTTAAGGCTGGCAGGGTTTTAGATAGATTCAGTAACTTACTCAGCCTTGTTGATTTCTTAGTACATGACGATACTTTTTTCAGGAGACATCCTCTTGATGCCCTAATCTTTTTTTTCTTTAGCATATTCCAAGTACTTGTCTTTAACTTCCAGAGTACCTCTGGTACTCATTTGCTTTGTAAAACCCTCTCTAGTCCTTATGGGTTTTGACCTTGGTGGAGACTGTGTGGGAACCTTGATACCTCTTTCAGCCAAAGTGTTTGTTTTGCCTCATTTGTTTCTTCACACAAAACTCCATCTTGTTCTTGAGACAACTAACCCTGTGATGTAATGTAATGTCTCCTGTATCCCGTATTTCTTAGAACTTTATTGTGGCGAGTCAGATAATGATGAAGTTGATTTATTTTTCTTGTATTATAAAAGGGATTATGTTTTCTTTAGTTTTTATATAGCAGAGAAGAGGAGCCCTATCTTATCAGTGCTTAGAAAACCTAGATAAAAAGAATCTCAGAGATTTCTTAAAATGTATTCCCACAGGTAAAGTTATTAGTCATTTTCTAATGAGTTTTCTGACACATAAAAATTTATATGCAGAAATTCAGTGGTTATCATTTTATGAATATTATAGCTCTGAGGTTTTTTTTATGTTGAACATTTGAAAATTTTTTTATGTTTTCTTAAATTTTAGGTCAGGAGACTGAAATCTCATCCTTCCATCATCGTATGGAGTGGGAATAATGAAAATGAAGCGGCGCTGATGATGAACTGGTACAGCATAGACGCTGTAGACCTGCCTACCTACAAGAAAGACTATGTGGAACTGTATGTGAAAAACATTCGAGAGATCGTCTTGGAAGTAAGTAATGGTTTTTAATGCAGTTGAATTTAAGAACCTTTAAATTTAAGAACCTTTAAATTTAAAAATGGATCAGTTTGAATATTGGTATAGTGTATTTTTATGCCCTTTATTTCAGGGCAACCTTCAACAAAATCATTTTAAAGCAGAGAAGTCCATTGCAATACTGCAGCCTGTGAAAGGATTCATGGGTTTTGGACTTCTTTAAGAATTAATATATCAGTGGGACTCCCACACATACACTGATACTGTGCTTACAATTGCAGTCACAGACACTTTGGAGTCCAACCATGGATCCCCAGTTGTTGCAAATCTGTATATTAAATGATGTATTGGTATGCTACTTTGTTACTTTTCTTTTTTTAAAATGTATTAAGATAGTGAATTCTGTGAATTAATTTCCTAATGATAACCTGGTCTTAGTATAAGCTTTATATAGTTAAAATGCTTTCTTCTTTTACTTTATGCCAGATTTAATTTGCTAATATTTTAATTAGAATTAAAAAAATTCACATTCATAAGTGAAATTGATCTCTGGGAAGAATTGTAAACTCAAATACTTAGAGGAGCCAAATTTGTTTTTAAAAATTGAGTAAAGTAGATGAGGCTCACAAAGAGAGTAGGTGCTGTGGTAATAGGAGAATGGATGTTGGGCCTCATAACATTTATATTCAGTAAGCCTCTTCCAGCAGCTTTTCCATACAAACAGCCAGTCTCAGCTTGTGATGCGGACTTTCCTAAAATCTCTAAAAGGTTCACAAACCCTTTGCAGCTACTGACCTTGGGGTGCCCTGTACCTTTGGCTAAATGGCTCCAGGTCCAGCACTAGTGGCAGCTGGCCTCAGTTAGAAGCTTAGCCTTTCCCAGGTGGCTCCATGCCTAGCACAGGTGGCAACCACTTGTAGATCACTTGGCTCATACAAGGTGGACCCAGGCTGGGCACAGGCAGTGGCTGACCTTGACCTGCACCAGAGTCACTCCTAAGAGGCCCCAAATCAACATACCTATGACCAGCTTCAGACCACACCAGAACAGCACCCACCCACCTCTACAAATGACACACCCAAAGGGCAGATTCAGTAGTCATGATAGTCTAGCTAAAGCAAATTCTAGTTCGTGAAGTCAGCCCCTGCACAATAGTTCCTCCTCTGTAATCACAGCCATTTCTCACAACCAATAGACTGAGAATCTATTCTTCCCATTTACATACCAACATAAATCAAGGCTTAACTACAACTGGAGAGCACACACAACCCACACAAGGGACATCCCTGAAGCACCTGGATTAGGTGACCAGGGAGACTGTACCACTGGGCCCCACAAGATACCTACTACATAAGGCCACTTTATCAAAACCAGGAGATGTAGCAGATATACCTAATGCACAGAAACAAATACAGTGAGACAGCTAAAATGAGGACACAAAGAAACATACCCCAAATGAAAGAAAAGGAGAAATCACCAAAGAAAGAACTAAATAAAATGGAGACAATCTACCAGATGCAGACTTTAAAACACTGGTTATAAGGATGCTCAATGAACTTAGGGGAAGAGTGGACAATCTCAGTGAGAACTTTAACAAAGAGATAGGAACCATAAAAATAGAGATAGAAAACATAAAAAAGAAACAGTCAGAACTTAAGAATAAAACAGCTGAAATAAAAAATACATTTGAGGGAATCAACACATTAGATGAAGCAGAAGATCGAATCAGGGATTTGGAAGATAAGGTAGCAGAAAGCAATCAATCAGAAGAGCAAAAAGAAAAATGAATTAAAAAAAATAGTTTAAGGGGCCTCTGGGTGAACATGAAGTGTACTAACATTTACATCATAGGGATACCAGAAGGAAAGACAGAGAGCAAGGGTGTGTAAACCTATTTGAAGAAATAATGACAGAAAACTTTCCTAACCTGGCAAAGGAAAAAGACACACAAATCCAGGAAGCACATCTCAAACAAGGTGAACCCAAAGAGTCCCACACCAAAACACATCATAATTAAAATGGCAGAGGTTAAAGACAAAGAGGGAATCTTAAAAGCAGCAAGAAAAAAGCAATTAGTTACCTACAAGGGTGCTCCCATAAGACTGTTAGCTGATTTCTCAACAGAAACTTTGCAGGTGAGAAAAGATTGGCATGACATATTCTAAGTATTGAAAAGCAAGTACCTATAACCAAGATCACTCTACCTAGCAAAGCTATCATTTATAGTCAAAGGACAGATAAAGAGTGTCCCAGACAAGAAAAAGCTAAAGGAGTTTATTACCACCAAACCAGTATTACATGAATTGTTAAAAGGTCTTTGTTAAGAAGAAGAAGAAAAAAGATCAAAATATGAATAATAAAATGGCAATAACTACATACCTATCAATAATTACTTTAAATGTAAATGGATTAAGTGCTTCAATCAAAAACATAGGGTGGCTGAATAGATAAGAAAATAAGACTCACATATATGCTGTCTACCCACTTCAGATGGAAAGACACACACAGACTGAAAGTAAAGGGATGGAAAAAGATATTTCATGCAAATGCAAATAAGACAGATGCTGAGGTAGCAATACGTACATCAGAAAAAATAGACTTTAAAGCAAAATCTATAGCCCAGCTGGTGTGGCCCAGTGGTTGAGCATCGACTTATGATCCAGGAGATTGTGGTTTGATTTCTGGTCAGGAAACATGCCTGGGTTTCAGGCTCGATCCCCAGTAGATGGTGTGCAGAAAGCAGCCGATCAATGACTCTGTCATCATTCATGCTTCTATCTCTCTTTCTCCCTCTCCCTTCCTCTCTCTGAAACCAATAAAGACATATTTTCAAAAAATAATAAATTAATTAAAAAACAAAAAACAAAGGCTATTTAACAAGAGACAAAGAAAGATCCAGTAATCCCATTTCTGGGTATTTATCCAAAGAAATTCAAAACGCTAAATAAAAAATACAATACACCCCTATGTTTAATGCAGCATTATTTACAATAGCCAAGATATGGAAGCAACCTAAGTGTCCATTGATAGACAAATAAATAAAGAAGATGTGGTATGTATGTACAATGGAATATTACTCATCCATAAAAAGAGTAAAATCTTGCTATTTGTGACAAATTGGATGGTCCTAGAGGGTATCATGCTAAGTGAAGTAAGTCAGACAGAGAAAGACAAATATATCATTTTACTTATATGTGGCATCTAAAATACAAAATAAATAAACAAACAAAAAAACCAGACTCATCAATACAGAGAAGATTTCGATGGTTGCTAGATGGGAGGGGGTTGAGGAGATGAATAAAAAGGGGAAGGGATTAAGATATGCAAATTTCCAGTTATAAAAACAGCCATGGGTATGTAAAGTACAACGTAGGGAATACAGTCAATAATATAATAACTACTATAGTGTCAGATGGGTATTTGACTTATTTGAGTGATCACTTCATAAGTTATATAAATATCTAATCACTGTGTAGTACATCTGAAACTAATATAATACTGTATATCAATTGTAATTGAAGTAGAAAAAAATATTTAAAAAATTTTGTAAGTGCTAAAGTAGAATTTGCTACATATAACATATGAATGTGTTGGCATGTGATATAAGGGGCAAATATAGAGGAAAGAGCTGGTTCCCAACTCCACTTAGGGTGGTTCTCTTTGCACCACTCTTTGTTTCATAGGCATAGCATATTGTGTTTACTACAGGCAAACATATATTAATACAAATGGCCTCTTTTTTTTTTTTTTTCTGGAAGGAAGCAGCATTTTTGTTTGTTTTGAAGTAATGTCTTCAAAAATTTAACTTTTTGGCTCAGCGGTTGGGCGTCGACCTAGGATCCAGGCAATCGGGGTTTGATTCCCGTTCAGGGCACATGCCTGGGTTGCGGGTTAGATAGTTGATCAATGACTCTCTCATCATTGATGTTTCTATCTCTCTCTCTCTCCCTCTCCTTTCCTCTCTCTGAAATCAATAAAGATATACTTTTTAAAAAATTAACTTTTAAAGACTTTAATGTTTAACACGTGATTTAATGATCTGATTGTATTTACAATTTTAATTGGTAATTAGATGTTTTAAGTATTTGGCTATATCCTGAAGCATTTGAAATGGGATATATTTAAAAGAATACTGTGTGATTTTGCCCAAATTTGCCCAGCTGATGGCACTATTCTATTTATGTGAAGAAACTTCAGTGAGAATACCTGAAAAAATAGGTTTAAATTTTTAGCTTATCTGACAAGCTAAGTCATATGTCATGAAGAATTTTTCTATTCACAAAATGTGGTAGTTTAAGCTTTAATTAATATTTATAGAACATTTATTTTATAGTCTTTTAAATCACAGTATTAGTATTTTTCATATCTGATGGATTTAAGAAATGGATTTTCATATCTGAGGATTTTCATTTCATAGCTTAATTATTAAGTGGTCATGACTCCAAGTCCTTACTGGGCCAGTAAATGTCTGTGTAATCTTGGGCAAGTTACTTAATCTCTACTTTCTTATCTATAAAACAATAGGGGCTAATTCTTAAGAGTTGTTATGTGGATTAAGTGAGATAATGAATGGAAGGTGCATTACTGGATTCTGGCACATAGTAGACTTTTAATTAATGCTAGTCAGCATTATCATTCTTTGTTGGTTTTACTAAACAAGCTGGGTCTTCAGATAGTTACAAACCTTAATCTCTAATGTTAACATTACATTCTTGAACTTAAAAAATTAGCTTCATCCTAATGAGTTTGGCTCAGTGGTTAGAGTCAGTCTGTGGACCGAAGGGGGCTGGGTTTGATTCCAGCCAAGGGCACGTACTGGGTTGCAGGCTCGGCCCCCAGTTGGGGTGTGAATGGGAGGCAACCACTCAATGTGTCTCTCTCACATTGATGTCTTTCTTTCTCTCTCTCTCTCCTCCCCTTCCACTCTCTCTGAGAAAGCAATGGAAAAAACATCCTCAGGTGAGGATTAAAAAAAATTAGCTTCTATGGTGCCACTGCATCTCCATATTTGAAGT